TAAAGCTTGGGATCTCAGTCTGTGGTCAGAACAGTATTAGTAAAATGTAAGGGAGGAAAAGAAAAAAAGGTGGTCTTCCTGTACCAAAATAGAGGTAGAAAAACATGAAGACGTTCTTGTGGGTTGAATGGTAGAGAGATATAGCTTAGGGGAAAAAACTGTAGGGTGAGGATCTACTGGAAGGTCTGAAAAGGAGATTAATGAAAATAAAAATGCAATGACCTGAACTGAAGATATTTTGGTAGATCAGAAATTCTATAGAAAAGTATATGACTTCCTTTTTTCATGTGAGCAGATAACCTGAAACATGGACTCTGATAACCCCGGGGATCCCCAAAAAAGGGTATATCTCTCAAGGGCAAAGTAGAGTATAAGCTCAATCTCTGGGCTGGAAAACACTTTCCAAGCATCAGAAATAAACGTGGAGTAATCTGTTTGGGAAGGGTAGAACAATATATTCTGATCACCTTCGAAATTCAAAAAGCTTCTCCTTGGATAAAACTTTTCCATCATAACCAGAATGGTGCGCACAGCCTCCATTCCCACTGTGACCCAAGTGAAGACAGAGAAATAAACCACAGAGTCTGCTAATACCAATGTGCTCTGTGTGGAAGGAGCGTATTCTAACATTGTTATATATAATGTAGTTACATAAAGCAATATGACAAAGTCTATAGATAGGAATCTTTCAGCAAAAAGAATTTCTGTAATGAGTACTTTCCATAGCAGGGTTTACAGTCTGAGCTTAATGCCCAATGGTACTATTTAAAATCCTTTCAAGAATGCAAGATCTAATGATGTTGAAATTTGTTAAAGCAGTATGTTTGTATGACATTTTAGTACAACATTCCCATTTATGTTAGCTTAATCAGATGAACAAAAAAGATTGTTTCCTCTCTAGCTGGTCCAATAAAAAGCATAATCTTGTACTTTTGTGAGCACAAAAAGTTAAATTTTGAGGAGCTTACCAGCTATTCCAGTAGGAGCAAGCCCTCATGTGAGCAGCTAGCCTTAAAGCAACTGGCATCTTCCTAAAAACAGTCAACTTGCAACAGAGGTGTTTAATACTGCCCCTTCAAATGGGGAATATAAACAAAATTTTCCTCAGTTGTATACAAGACTGAGCTGTTGGACAGATAATATTCAATACTGAATAAATGGCAAGTGTAAAGATGAGTCTGCAACTCCTCAGAATTAGACTGCATTTAAACTGAGAATTTACATTTTCTTCTTGGAAACTCACAAATCAGCACACTGGGATTCTTATTAATAAAAAAAGATAATTTAGGTATTTACAAGTAATTTAAAACTGTATTACTCATAGTTTTCCCCTCTGAGTTCTAGGAAATTGGATTAATGTTATGCACAAAAGAAATTTTATACTGTGAGGTAGGGAGGAGACCAAAAAAATCCCTGTGATTTCTTATTAAAATATGTTTCAAAAGTGCAGTTATTTTCCCTTTTAAATATTTGGCATATCAAAAATGTAAGAGAACATAATGAGGGACAAAGATTTTATTAGCAGCTCTTTGAGATATTTTCATGAATAATTTGTGGGACAAAAAATTCTGATATAGCCTCACTATCCCATCCCAACATAAAAACTCTGGGATCACATGAATATGCAGTTCACCACTTCCTATGTGAAAGTGGGAATATATTCTGCTGGATATTTTAAATTATAGCAATTACTAATGTACCAGCACTAACTGATATAAAGTGACTGTACTGCAGCCATGCAGTCAGCGCCAGAACTGCAAACTCACCCAGAAATCATTGCCAAAGAAAATCCTCCAGCTACACCCCTGCTTATGATTTTTTCTGTTATTCCTGGGAAAACAAGACCTGACAACTTTGAGACAGACAACTCTATTTTACAGTTTTCTCCATTTTTGTTTACTAGCTTCCCATGAAAATATTTGATATTCCACAAAAAAGAATCGAATCAAAAGTATTCTCATCTGCCTTCTGATCCAAATTTGATCTGTTCAAGTGCATAGGTGATTATAGGTAAGAGTGTGGTTTGAAATAGCTGAGAATGGATTCAGGTCTTTCTTCTCTCTGCTTTAGAGTATAGCATTCCCTTCTAAATCAGGTAAAACAGGAACATGAACTTCAGTTCCTGCAGATATTTTAGTCCAGAGTCTGCTACTGCAGCAATACTTTTTCCACTGAAAATACTCTTAGCATCTCCTGTTCTCTCACACCTTTAAAGCCCTCTTGTGAGAATCAAAAGTAGTCTGAACATGGCTCACCAGTTTAGCTTCTGCTGGATGATTTGTTGGTCTAAACTTGGCAATTCTGTCTGAAGATTAAAGACTCAACAGCATGCGTGTCACTGCCAACTTCAACCATCTGTCATTACTCTCCAGTATGTTTTAGCTGTGATATTTACCTACTTACTGCTGTTTTGTAAACAGAACACACAATGATGAATACCTTAGCACTTAACCTTTCCAGAGACCTTCCTTTCTGATTTAGCACCCAGTCCTCACTCCTTGCTTAGATACAACTTCCAAGCTAAACCCACATCGATTATTTTCCCTGTGATAATTTGGAAGCTATATGACTAAAGTATGAAAGGTTTCATTTTGAAGCAACATCCAAAAACTTCAAAATATCCAAGACCTTTCATAATAATGACTTATTAAAATAATGAACATTTCCAGTACATATCAGTGTCTGTATGCATATATAGTACCTGAAATAAAAGTATAACCATTTGCAAGCGTCTCACCTTACATGTCAACAAAAGAGTGCATTATACAAATTGAGATAAAAACTTCTCTGTAATTTATGCCATAATAGCAAGGGCAGTTCCATTGCATTACTAATAGGTGGTCTGTCAACACAGGACATTCAGTAAGACTGAAAATCGTTAGGCAGTTTTGGCAAAAAAAAACCTCTGAACAGTTAGGTTGCATAGTTCTGGAGTGGCTTTTTTGTATTACTTCTTTTTAAACTACATTAGTGAATCTCTGTCTTTGCATGGATAGGCTAGAATTACTGCTGTGATGTAGAACTACTGTATAAATAGCATCTATGGCTAATCTAACTTATTAATTTGGTTATGCAGTGTCTCAAAATGAAAGGTTCAAATCCAGGTTTCTCCAGATAAGTGTTTAGTAGAGTCATGCCTGCTCTTATTTAATGAATCTTGAAAAAAATTTCTGAAGAAGAGTTCACTGTTAAGAGGAGGACAGTGAGTGCTATAGCATTATGTCTGAGGCAGGACCTACAGCAAACAGTTTTCTAATATTCACTAGCCTTTCCAGTCAAACATTGACATAAAAAACCAGCAACAAAAACATTGAAAGAAAGCAAGCAACCTTGGGTATGAGGGATGAGCATACTGGAGGGAAAGTGAATAAATGAGAATAATATGAAAGATATTGATGAGCAGAAATCACATCATGTAAACGCAATTGAAAGAACAGTGGTTGCTACTAGAAGCATTTGAAACTTTATTCCTTGTTTCCCAAGAAATATGTCTGATATGGCCTCTACATTACCCTCTATAGAGAATTGGTTATGCTAGAATGATCTGGTTCTGTGTGTTTTTTCTGGAATATAATTTATTAGCATTCACAATCACTTTTTCTTGGGGATCATTTTCATTAACGATGGACAATAGTACAAGAAGAAATAAAAAACTTTCTTAGCCTTTACTTGCCTCAATTGTTAAGCAGCAACATCTTAAAACCTTATGTTTAATGGTTTACAGTAGACTCTGGAAGGGAACTATGTCCTTTCCCCTTTCTTCCACACACCTGGTAGAAGGTGTTTGTCCACTAAACTCCCTAATCCATCTGAGTTCCATGGTCAAAGTGCTGACAAAACCATTAGTTTTTATTTTATGTTCATTATCTCCTGCTTGTGTCTTGTTTATGATTTGTTAGTGTATTCAGCTGCCAAGATGAAACCATAAAATATATCTCAACGTCAGTGGGAAATTTTCTGTGTAAAATACAATGTTAGTAAATAAATCAAAAGCATTAGTGTTACTCCACTAATAGAGTAGAAAATAAGAGTAGAAAAGTCTAGCACTGGTTTCTGTGTTTCAGGATGCTTGTGCTCTTCCTGGTTTTCTGAGTTAAAACTATGATAACTATGGAGGTGGAGGTTTTAGTTTTTATCTTTTTTTTTTAAAGTTGTTAGTTCTTCATGTACATAAGGAATACCAACCATTGGGAAAGCTTAGGACTACCGCTTTTAAAAACAATGGCTGAAGTCTTAGTACATCTGGGTGCATGGAGTTGACTATGGGGGCCTCATAGTGGACCTAGTTTCCCCAGCTCTTAAAGGTACCACTGGTTACAGCAACACTCTTCCTTGCAAGAGCAGTAAATCCCTCTCAAACCATTAGTGTCTTTCAAACAAGACTTTTACATTGTAAGATCAGAAAACACAGGAGTGCCAAACTAAAATTCTTTTTATTATGTAGCTTAAAATGTCAAAGGCCAAAGTATGTAAGCATTAAGAATTTGTTTCTTTAAAAACCCTGATGTCATGTTGGATACACCACTTTATTAAACGGGGTTCATTACTGAACACATTATAAAATTCAAAAGATGGATTTTATGCAACATTATATGTTTGATTCCTTTTTACCACAACCTTATGTTTCAATTCATCTTGTCTGAGGTCTACAATTCTGTAACATTTCTATTTTTCTTAGACTGTAAGGAACATAAAACACCACCTGTTCTCAGGAAGAACTCTCCATTTACTTGAATACAAGCAATAACTGCCTTATAGTCATATAACAAAAATGTCAGTTTTTTCCCATGTTTCAGCCATACTACACACATGGTATTGCATAAAATTCAGCAAATATAATTACATCCGGGGAGCTGTAAACATTTAGAGGGGGCTGTTCACTAGAAACAAGCGAGAAGACAATTATCAGTAAGTTAATAAGAATATACACGGATGCTCATTTCCCTGCAAAATAGTTAAATGACATAAGCATAAATAGCTGAGTAGTACAACCAGCTTACCAATTTCCACTGGGAGATGGTTGATTTGATTTTTTGACAAGTCCAGTACTCTCAGATCTTGAAATAATGCAATGTAGGCTGGAATGGTTTGTATCAACGTATTGTGCACGTGCCATTCTTTCAGGTAGGTCTGTTCTTTCAGAGAATCTGGGAATTCCTGTAGATGAAATAAGAACATGTAAATAGAAAGAATCAGGTTAGAATTTTGTTCTACCATGTTTCCAAATACAGGGGGGAAAAATTCCACAGCGAAATCTCAACACATTTTCTTTATTATCTTGATGTAGGTAGAACAGCCATTTGCCAAACCCTCGTAAGAGCTGTTTGCTTCTGAAGAGCATTGCAGCTGTCTGTCACCACATATTTATTTTTTAACTGCTAATGCAATCATTTTGCTCTAAAACAGAAACCTATCTAAGGCACTCAACCTGTTTGGTGTCTCTCATATTATCTCCTTTTTCCAGCTGAAGGATTTTTTTAGAACACATTTCAGTGCTTTAACTCACTCATCAAGATGTAGTAAAATGCAACACAGAACAGAAGAGTGGGTATATGGAGAATATCTAAACAGGGTATGCCACAAAAAAAAAAAAAAAAAAAGTGTGACTATGTTCGTAATCCCTGCCAATGTTTCAAAATTTGCTTGCCAAGATGGAACACAGTCCAATGAAGAGAAACAGTTCAGAGAGGATACACACATATCACCATTTGAAAGTCTTTTTCCAAATAAGTGACTTAACTTTCTAAGTTATTTCAGAAATGTTTGAAAACTTTTACTAATTTTCTTTAGGAAAAATAAAAATACTCCATTTTACTCAGTCCACAGCTGCAACTAATTCTTGCTTTAGCAATGGAGAAACTTTTTCTTTAAGAATTTAGTATTGTTCTAAATACGCAGCAAATAAACTTGCTTCTGAGTAATTTACAGAATACTCTATTTGTCCAAAATCTCCAATGTATACAGTTACTAAATCTAAAAGTTTTAAAACTTTTAATTCCTGTAAAATTGCTTTAGTTAATTGGTATTCAGTTCAGATGTACACACTTTGTTTGAATTATGTCATCAAATTCCTTGAACTTGAAACAGACAAATATCAATTTATAAAGTTGAAGGTCAGATCACTTAAACGCCACATTCCAAAGCAGCACATAATTTACCTGTCTGTCCTGAGTTTTATACCACTGTGCATTGGTAACATCTGGAATAAATAATCTGGATGAGGTGCTATCACTAACTTTGCTCCATATAAAGAGATGTAAGAGTTTCAGCCTTTAATTCCTTTATGACTTCCAAATTTGTTTCCTGTGCATGAAGAATACGACACAGTAAGAATTACTGCTTTTTATCCAGAGGACATTGACCACTTTTTTTTTTTTTTCCTTCTAGATTTCATAGATCCCCTAAGACATTAACAAGGGTGATACACTTTAATTGTTTTTTATTAACTCTGAACTTCTGAAGTAGGAATAGTGCTACTTAACTCTTAGCTAAATTAAAACTTCTAACTGTAATTGAAGATACATTGGACTTACCATTAACTGTTCTTTGTTTGGTTGTTGCTGCCTCTAATTTCAGTTCTTTTCAAATTTACACATGCAGACACTTAGCCTTTAGATGTAGTTCTGCCTTCCTACCTGCCCTTCCATATTTGATATGGATCGTTTAATTTCTTACTTCATTTTCCCACCAGGTATATATTGCATTGTGATCCATCTTCTACATTTGTCAGTTTATGGCAGTTAAAAAATAAAATGCCTGAAATGCCTCGGGGCTAGTAATGAGAAATCTCTCCGACTTTCTGGAGTGGGTTTCCACTCCTCCACCTTCGGTCCTGCACATTTTTGTGCAGCAAAATAAAAGAATAAATACCAACTGCAGATTCAATTAGTATTGTTTTTCCCACCTGTACAGAATTGAAAATGTGACACACAGGGGATAGCATTTAGCTGGAGTGTCATAGATGTCACTGTAGGGAAGAACCCTGATTCACAGAGAAAGCAGGTGCAGAATAGTCATACTGGAGGGAAATAGACGTATGGGTAACAGATACCATTTGCCACTCTATTTCTCCACAGTCCAGGTCTGTCTTTGTCTTTCTACTGTCATACTGGCTTTCTGCACCTTGTCACAACAGACTGTCTCCAGCTCCTTACTGGCAGATGCATCCAGGAGCAAAGATGAACACTTACCCCTGTGAAACCAAGAGCCTACTGAAGGGGCCATCTCACAGACTTCTCCTTGACACGTTGAACACTGCAGCACACAAAGCACTCTCACAGACTAAGATCAAACTCCTTCAAAATTTCATAAAAATTTAGGCAAAATATTTTTTAAATTGTCTGTTATTAATGCAAAAAAGATTTTTAAGATCTTTACATCTGTATTAAGGGTAATTTAAAGCACCAAGATATTCTTGTGCAGCAACTGAAATAAATCCAGACATGACTTCAAAAGAATGGAAGGAGTTTCCATTCATCTACAAATTACCCTGACTTACTTTTTTTTCTTCAGATTCTTTCTTTATATCTTATAATCATATTTACAATTTGCAAATGTAAGTTTACAAATATTTTGCTATAATGTGGTTTTTTAACATTCTCCATCCTACAATATATTTTATTTGTGTTGCTGAAACCTAAATTGATGTGATATTTTACTTCATTTATAAACTAGATAGGGATGGGAACTGAAATTTGCACAAGCTTTATGTTTGCTTTACTCTCTGATTCCCTTGTGTTCTTTTGTAATCTTCTGCTGCCATGCTAAAGCTGGCAGCCTGCTGATAAATTGTTCCATGAAGACTGACACTTGGAGGATAGCCAGTCTTCTGCATTTAACAGCAAAACAATACCTCAAGCTCCTTTGATTTTTGAGAGGGGAAAATAAAAAGTATTAAAAGGAAATAAATAACAAACAACCATCAATGATTATATTATTTCTAATTAGTAGAGAATTTACCTGCTAGACACGAACCTGAACTAAAACTGTGATCAAAGCTCTGAGAAGTTTCAATTCTGTTTCTTTTCCAGCTCTATGATTTTATCTGTCATGGGCCAAACCAAGGCCTTGGATCCAAATCTCTCTCATCTTTGACAAAGTTTGGAGCTAGTTCCAAAACTAGTCTGCCTCAGGGCCACCGGTATTACCTGACTGGGTCAAGAATTTTATACGTTTTTGGGGAAAAAATATCTCTGCAAGTTAAATAAGCACAAGAAAGATTTTCTCTGTCCGTTCAATACAGCAGTTCTACTTGACCCTTTGTGGCAAATAAATACCTCACTGTCACTAGCAGTTGGGAATGGCAAATTGAAGTACTCTGTTCTCTCTGAAAATACACAGCATGTTAGACGATAAAACTGGGGGAATAAATAGAATGTAGTAATTAGTTTGCTGCCCTTTTCTGTGAAGAAATGATATGCAAGAAGGTCATGAGTTACAAGTAAAGAATTTTACCATCATTCATTCATTTAGTTGTTGTACACATTTGACAGTAAAGTTGTATAAAGTGGGTATGCATCCAGATCCTCTGCTTAGGTAAAGCAGCACAACCAAGAACAGTCCTGCTCTGTATTTGAGTGAACATCGTCACCTTTCCTTTGGCAAGATTGGTATCACAAATTCAAAAATTTGTTTTTGTTGAATGTTTTCAGAAAATCATTTAAAATTCACTGATCCATTAGAGAATAAACATTCATTAGTTAGAAGCAGAAAGTAAACACTCAGAGGGGAAAAGCAGAGTTAAAGTGAATTCACTGAAAAATTCATATGAATATTCATGGCATTATTTTGCCACAGTATTCATTCTGCTCTAATAGAAGTGCTATTTCTCTGAAGAACTAATTTAATTCAGTAGATACATGTTTACATGTACAAAGGATCTCAATTAAGTGTTTCATCAAGTCTCCATCATTCCTTCCGAGGCAACAGATTCAAACACACAATTCAAGACTCTAAAGTCCTTATACAGCTCCTTTTCATGGTGGGTTTGCCTGGAAAACTCTCAGATAAATAAAAAGTTTTTCTGAAACACACCTTGGGAACCTCAAATTACTTATGGCACAGTGCACCATTCTCATGCTGTCAAGTCCCAAGGGTTTTGCAAATACAGGAGGATTTAGGAGATTCACTGCTGGGGCAATACAACTTGGTTCTGCCCATTCTTTATAAAGAGAAAGGAAAAGCCTGTCTGATTTTATTCACAACATCAGATGATGAGACTAGCCCATTTGTTACTGAAAGAACTTTTCATTCCTGAATACAAATATTAATTCATCGCTGTTCCCAGCTGGCAGAAATGCACCACACAGGGATGTAGACACTTGAGTCATAAATATGTGATGGGTATGGAAAAGAGGAGGCACAGGATCCACTGAAACTAGTGGATGTTGTCACACAGCCTCTTCCAGGTGGAGCTCTGACAGGCAAAGGTAAAACTACCTCATCACTGCAGTTATCAACCACTGTCCACTGCCAGAAGCTAACCACCCTGGACAGGCATGGCCAAACCAGTACCTACATTACATGAGGACTTTCAGATTCAGAAAGACTCACTGAGTATGTGTTCTCCAAGCAAGTCTTTATACTAATCCATCTTACAGCATTGCAGTTCAGAAGGTTTCCATTAAGTAGTGTGACCATGCTGTTAGAATACTGTAGAGACATGAAATGTCTAGAGGTTCAAACTGCATTTCTCAAAAAATTAGCCTAAAAGTGAACAATAACTAGTAAGAATTAAAGATCTACAGGAAATTATGGATCTGCACAAACAGAGTACAATTCCTCAGAATTAATATACTGTAAAATCAAGCATTACTCTCTTTAGTCAGTACTCTGTGCCTATTTGTCTAATCTATTATTCATTGTATGAGCTTTATCTTTCCTCAGATATGTTAAAATAATTACTTTACAATTACAAGGAACAGTGAATCTCCACCTAAAGAAAATACTTTATCATCTCAATGACATTTGAGAGGTGGGAAAAATGTGGCACAGAGGTTCTGAAGGAAGGAATTCCTATTAGGAATTCAAAATGTGTGATCTGCTCTGATTTTCTCCCTTACAAAGGTTCTCAGAAGGAGATCCGAGATGATTTTCAAAAGACCATTATCCAGATGATTTTCAAAATAATTGTCCAAGCTACCCCAGTATATGATGGAGTGTTTTAAAAAAACTATTTTTAACCTCGTACTCAACAATGCAGAATCAGTGGCCCAGATTCACTGTTTTGCTGTATGGATATGGAGCATGAGACAATAGCATCTTCGTAACATGTCTACATTTTCACCATCTAGACAGCCTGGGCACTGATTAGTGCCCAACACAAGCTGCTGTTCTAATTGGCTGCAACATTGCAAAGAACACCATTAGCTGATTTATGGACTCAGCTCATTTGCTGCTGAGGTTTCCAATGAGAGCCCTTACACTGAGACCTGTGGGGAGGATGTGGCAAAGCCACTTGCTTTGATCTTGAAAAATCCCTATGCTGGGGATTACTCCTCTGTGAGACTTAACTTCACAGCTCCCAGAAAGAGATCTGCTGCATCCCAGAAGCAAGCCCAGTTCTCAAAATTAAATCTGTAATTCATACCAGCAACCTACTTAGATTTAGTTATCAACTGTCTAGAGGATATATTCCTGCTTCCTTGATAAGAGGAAAGGGGAAACATAATAGAAATACTTATCAGCTAAAAGCAAGTGAGGTAGAGTATTCAGCAGCTAGTTCCCAAACGGGCACTTTGCGGGCTGTGCTGTTTGCAGTAAGTGGCCAGACAACAGCAAACCAAGCTGGTTATGTACCTGTAAAACTGCACAAGCAAGCCCAGCTCTGATTTCTCCTAGTGTCCGAGAGCTTAATCTTCCAAACTTTCAACTCATAGATGTATTTGTGTGCAAAACAAATTACAAAAACTAAGCCACAATTGATACCACAGCTCCCAGCTACATAACATACGAGCTTCTCTGAGAAAATTGTCACATGCCCACAGACCTTTTCACAGGCAAATTGCCAGCCTGTGCAGATTTGGTTATGTAGTGTGCAAATCCATTTTGCCTAAGTGTACCTTTTTATGACAGAATAATAGAGGAAAAGAGTGTCATTTCTGATTCTGTCTTTGGTTAAGAAGCAGCAGTTCGGATTTAAAAAAGCAAAATAAAATAAGTGGTATGATTCGTACAACTGATATAATTTTTACAAAAATTCTGCAATAACAGGAAATACACTTCTTTCAGAACTCTGTCAAGTAGATTTTTGCATTTTTAAAATATTTTTCAGGTGTTAGAGACTGAAAATGCACTTTGATTTTGAAGGACCATTGGTCTTCTACAGAAAAGTTTAGTTATGTAGCTCTCTGCTCCCTGATGCACTGAAAATTTTGCAGTTGCTACTATACTAGTGTCTAAGGAGATGTAATATGTCCTTTTTTCCTCCTAAGATACCTACAAAGTTTACAACACAGGAAAGTGTGCAGTATAAGACTACACAGCTTTAACATTATTTTCATTATCCCAAGTTCTTGAAAGATAAGACATGATAGCTTTCCAGCAACCAATCCTGCCACATGAATGATTGGCATTAGTTGAAGAAACAGTCTTCTTACTAGAGCTGGATGGGAACCAGGGTTTTCTATTTCCCCAAAATCTAATCTGTTTCATGTTTATTCAGAAAAAAACTAAAGCCAAAAAAACCGCAAAAGCTGAAAGAGAAAACACTTTCATATTCAAGATCAAATCTAGACAAAAGTTACATTTCAGGTCAATTGAAAGAATTGTTTTAGTAAAATTTAGCCACTTCATCAATTGACTTTTTAACTTGCATTTTTTTGTAATAAAAATCGGAAAAACATATCTCAAAATTATAAACTACAAAAGAGTCAAAATTCTAATTTCACTTTCTCATTAATAAAGTAACGTATATTCAAAATACATTTCAGTCAAAGCTTTAACACAGAAGAAAACTTCAGACCAACTCTAATCCACCCTTTGCTGAATTTCAAAACAGCATTAAGGCAGATCTTACTTCCAAACTGCTAATTCACATCAAACACAACTGCAAGTAAAAAGTGCTTTTTTCAGTCACACCACTGTGGATTGATGTTAATATTAGTTTTGATTTCAACAGAGCTTGAGAAAAATGTTATCGTACCATTAGAGCAAAAAGACAGATCTCTGAGTAGTAGAAGACATCAACAAGCCAACAAAGCTGAATATTATTTTCCTCTCTTTCCATCCATTGGGGAATTTCAGACAAAGATACCTTATTGCAATATGATTGCTTATACCAAAATTTTGAGAGAGCTAAATTATATGTATCAGTAGAGAATTTAAAATAAGAATATTTGAAAACTAATCCACTAGTTCAGGGTAAGATAGGAAATGTTTTTGTCACCTCTAACACTGTGAAAAACATCAATTTCATATGCATTGGCAAAAAAAAATGTTCTGGGGGATTAAAGGGTACAGTGCTAAGCTACCCAAACTCTTTAACAATAGAAACATATTTTCCGTTATATTTACCATCCATTGCTCTCCAGAAAGCTGAAAGATATACTTGTTTCTTTCCTTATTTGCTTCATCTGAAAACGCATGCCTCTTCTGGAGCTGAGGAGTCTTTCCATAAGTGTCCAAGATGTTGTTATCAGTGTCTACAAAGCCATTCTTGAGGTATTTTGATTGAGGAATGCCTTTCTTCCTGCACTCTAGTATGAAATTCCATTCCTAAAATAGTGCCAAAAAGGATTTACGTGAATCAACTGGAACAATATGGCAAATAAGTTTTAAAGCTTGATCTTTGTTTGCACAAATACTTAACAGAATATAATTATGCACCTAATGTATTGACTGGGGTTTTTTTTTAAAAAAAAGATGTATTCCTGGAGTCTTGCTTAGATTTTCTAGACTTACATATAGATTTCAGATGAGCAGGATTTCATTTACTGACTACAAAATTGTGACACCCAGGGAATAACAGAAAAGTGGAGACTGAGCACACTGTCACAGAAAGCAGGATGAATGATACCCTTTATTTGAATAAGGTAGGAAATACATTCTCATAGAACAAGTCATATGAATAAACAAAAACAAGGACCTGGTGATAGATGCAAAATTTTTCAGTTGCAAAAAAGTTATTTTAGAAAGTACAAAGTTAGAAATATTCCCTTTTCCCTGTCCCTTCTTGTTCAAGTATAATGATCTGTTTTCATTTTTTACACATTATCTTCCAATGTCATCTTAGAAGGTGGAGGTAAAGGTCAAAGTTATCACATCCTAACTAATTTCAGATTCAATTTCAGTGTAACTTCAGGCTCACCTCCAGGGCAAACTCTTACCCACATAACTTCAGGTGCAAATTCAATTTGATACAATTAAGCATTGCCAAAAGCATGTGCTTTAATTTAAGAGAGATTTATTTCAGCTTAGCTAATTAAGGAAGAGGTTGATTAACTGAAGCAAGCCTTCCTTATACAAAAATAAGAGTCTGCAGAACCCCTTGCATCATAAATCACATCTCACGCTTTGAATGCTGGATTCTTGTGGTACATGAGATTCTTTTATGTGACCTTCACCCTCTGGCAGAAATTTTAAGCTAAAGACTTGAAGAAAACTAACAGGTGAAGAAGGGCACTAAGTTCAAGATAATGTTCCCCCCTAAGAGAAAGTCAAAAATGGCATGTCCTAGAATGAGAATCAGATGCAAGTTTGTAAAGTTCAAGTAGGAAGTAACAAATCCTGTACACACAGGCCGAGCTAAGCACAGCATTTTCTCTGAAATGCTAAGATGATAAAACACTGGGTGCATAAAACAGAACGTCTGGTTTTAAGTTACATACAAGAAATCAGTTACAAGCTTAAGGGCAAGAAGCATCTTCTAAACCTGGTGAAAATAAGTAATTTTTGGACACTTGTAGCAAAGTAGGAGACAGAAAATGCAGGGAAGAGTATATTTATGGGAATAGGATAGCGTAGATTAGAAGTCATGTTTGACTCAATGCTATCAAAGCAAATCTTCAGGGATCAAAACTGCGTGCCGAAATAGGAAAGGTGTTACTGAGACAGCTGTAAACTGCCCAGCACAAACTGCGGCACTTACTGAAACCTTAGGAGATGTTAGAGAGGCTTGAAAGCGGAGAGCACAGCGACAGCAGGAGACTTCCACTATCGGCATACACAGAGCGCATTGACACGCTGCAGACAATATACACTTTTGGAAACTACATATGACTATTTGTCAGGGCAGCTAGCGTGAGAGAGCACAAGAGGACCTGATTTAGTTTCAAGGAGCAGCACACTATACATGGGTCATCAGAGAACTACAGAAAGCCGCTTCTGTAATAATGGCTACAATGTATTCCCATGCAACATCTTTATAAAGAGAAAATAAGGAAAAGCATCAAATAACAGTAAAGTTGGTTAAAAGTGCAGCTCACTGGGTAAAGTGCTGGCAGACTGCAGGAAGACAAGCACACTTTCAGAGTAAGTACATTCTAACAAAGATAATGTAAAGACCTCTTTCTCCCCGCATTTCCAAAAACGGGGGGGGGAAAGGATAAAATAACTTTTATGTTCAAATTAAGAAATTAGAAGGCAGTATAAGCTCTAATAAATTAAATGTAAAAACACAAAAAACCCAAGTGTTACTGCAGGTATACAAATGAATAGGAAAATGATTTCTAGCATATTGGAAGCAGAAAGCCTCTCAGAGAGATGATTGGGACACTAACTTATAAAGGGGTGAAAGAAGCAATAAAGAAATGGTCGAAGAAGCTATTGAGAGCTGCAGAAAAGTTACTCACTCTTGACTTCAGTTTTCATTAGTGAGATCAGTATGCTTTTTACAAGTAGGCATGTGGAGGGCTTTCTGGTATGTAAAGTGTCAGTAGAGGAGGTATGAGAAAAAACAAAGTACATATTTGAAGTAAATGTCCCAGTTTCTCTCAGTGTGTAATTATGGACTGTTTCATACCACGGCAAGCTGTGGTATGTAAAGGAGTTAACAAGAAAAAGACAGGACAGACAGAAAAGGTGTCCAACAACGTGTTCAGCTAGAGAGTCCCTAGAGGAGTACAGAACCTGCTAGTACAGCTAAGGAAGAGTCCACCACCAACCCACAACAACTCAAAATCTTTTCTGAAGCTACTTGATATAACAAAGACAAGAAAATAGGTTAGAGCAGACACAGCTCCTCAGACCATTTTGTGATCCATCAACGTGCTGCGTCTGATACTTCTGGTTACAGAGGGAGAGACACCTGCGTACCTGATTGTACTAGGCAGTTGAAACCTCTCTTTCAGATGCTTTGACCCATGAACTAATTCTATTTTTAGTGTTGATCTTGCGCATTCAGTCTTTTGAACCCGGAGACCACCAGCACAACAGAGGGCAAGCAATGCAATAGCAAGAGATCACTACGAAAATCTAGAAAATAACACTTCCATGTACGATAGGAAAAATAAAGAGGCCCAAACCACTTACTCATCTTTTTTCCAAAGCTCATTTACCAGTAAGCATAGCTAATTAACTGTAAAATCTCTGTATTACTGTGCAGAGGTAGGTGGGAGTTGAAGTGGGTGGGGAGAGGGAGTGAATCGAATCCCCAGGGAAAGGAACAACAAAAGGATCTGAACCATTAAAAGGCAGGAACTGAAAAGCACCAAAACCTTGGCGTTCTTTTCTTCTAAAATCTTCTAAATAATCTTAGCTTTACTTACCACTGCTGTACTGCTGTTTCTCACATCCTCCTCCAGTCCTCCACATACAGCTTTTCTGTCCCTCTGTGAAGCTTAACTCTGCATTACTGCCCTCTCATTTCCATGGAATTCCTTCATTTTCTACCAAAGCAATAAACATTTGATCTCAGTGCATAATATGATGCACTGAAAAACCTTGCCCCCAAGATGCCTTTTTTGTACTCCTTGCTCTTCACTCATGCACAAAAAATGATTGACTCATTCCTCACAGTATAAATCTAAGAATGTTAGAACTTAACAAACAGAAAGAGGATGTCAAAAAATCTAAGTGTCAATAAAAAGTAAGGCACTAAACTGCCCTACTACACCTCAGTGTTGGCTCTGTCAGGTAGACTCCAGGAACACAAAAGCAGAGGGCTCAGGTCTAAAATTTTGCTCTCTCACAACATAGAAATATAGAAAATAATAAGAAGGGAGCTACATTAAAGATAAAAGAACAAACTGTCCTCTGACACTTTACTGATAACATGTACAAAATACAAATATCAGGAGGTAATGACACAGTGTTAGCCAAATAAAATAAAATGCATATCACAAAAAATGCTGTTAACCAAATCAGTCAATGAAATATTGACCTCAGAAGAAAGACAGGCATTAAAAATTAAATCTGGTTAAGAATTCAACATGGATGTCACACACCTATGTGGAAATTCTGTGTCAAATCCTTCTTTACTCATGCATTAAACAATGGCAACATGCTCTGTTAAGCTTTTAAAGAATGCCCACTTACACCCACCAGGCTAAGTACTATGTACAAGCACATTTTGAACAGATGGAAACAGAATTAATAATGGAGCAACACACATGCGTAATTTTATGCAGTACATCTCAGAATGAAAACATGATATATCCCAAGGGCAGAAGGTCTAACAATTTACAACCCCTGCTTGTACCCTTAGGATACACACTAACCAAATGAATCAATACGAGCCTTCCTGGCCTGGAGGTGTGACTTACATCAAGCCAATATATATCATTAAGCAAAGATGAGAAATCTGTAATTTCCAGATTACAGTTGAGATCAAACCAACGGTATCTATACAGCTACGTGGTTGTCACTCAGCTCAGTCATTCTCAAAAAAATTGAGATGATGGTACTTCTTAAAGGATCTTTATGAAAATAAAGACCATTTTAAGTCTTCCTTTGGTGACAACCTCAAATAAAATAGAATTACCACCATGTTTGTCATATCTGGAGGCTATTGCGTGAATCTTCAGGAAAGACAGGAAAGGCGTCTAAACCAGTGTCTCAAACAGAAGGAAAAAAATCCATACAAATAAATTTGGCCTTTAAATATGTTAATATACTTGTAGAGAAATTAAACTTCTGGTCTTAGTACTTTTAGGGCTTCTGATATTCCAGGAACACATTTTCATATATGAGAAACAAATGAGTTGGTCACAAAATCACAGCCCTCCTGAAGTTTATGTCTTTTTATTACTATTCAACACTAAAATATTTTTATCTTCCTCTAAAACTTGGTCAACAGTTGCAGTCAGATTAAAGAAACAACTATCATTTTCAATATCAAAAAAATGGGTGTTAGTCAAGTCAAACCTAATTTAAGTGGGAGTAGGAACACAAAAATTTTTTTCTGAACATAGGACCCAGATGAGATCTAACATTCCAACTCAGCTAACTACTCCAGTATTTCCACTTCAACAAAGCAAATAGTCCACTAATTTTAAAAAAAAAAGCTTATTGTGTGCTGTCAAAAAAAACTTGTTTTATACCTTTATACCTGTAACACAAAAGTATACCTGTCACTAAAGCAGACTGTAAATGGTATAAAAAAAAGGTTAATTCTGGCAAGCCATTTCCCAATACATTGCTGTTTTTAAGCTTTCGGGACAATACACCATAGATATGAAACAGGATCAGCAGGGAAATGGAATATTCAAGTATTTGCATTTTCATTAGTGATGAACTTGTCTTCAGGTAATCATTCCCCAACCATTACTTCACTATTGGAGTATATCTGCAGCAAAGACATTTAACAACATAAAATTAATTTTTTTTATTATAAATATTTTCTTTCAAGGATATGGGAGTTCCTTGCTTGGCATTTTAGATTCTCCAACAAAAACCTGAATCTAATCAACCTGATGCAAATAATTACCGTAGAATAATTCAGTGATTGTGCCCTTCAAAAGAACGACCAGCTTGGAAAATAAGAAGTTTGCGTTAGTAAGGATTTCAGAGCCACCCCGGTAAATGAGGAGTAGCTGGACTTCTTTGAATGGTTCTTCCTTCAGCAGTTACCAACTGCTCAATGTCTTATTAGGACATCTTGAGGAAAAGCTATGCTTCTTAGGTAAAGAAGGGAAGTTTCATTAGATGGCACCGTTTCATCTAAATCAGGGTGGAAGAAATAGCCAGGACACTACATGATGACACCAGTTTAGTACTCCTGGGTGATGTTTAAATCAGAATCACTAGCCACGCAGGATCATTAAATAATCCTATGGAATATTTATAAGAGCGGTACAGTTAAACTGGAGCTCAGCCCAGACTAATATTCCTGATGGAAAAGTAACATTTGCTTCAAATTCGACTGGATTCATTTAATTTCAGTCTCTCTGCCAGGCTCTTCCATGAGTTGTAAAGGATTGTGGCTGAACAGCAGCCTTTATCTTTCAACCCATTTGCATGCATTATATTAGATGTAAGGTCTGTACGCACAAGTGCCTAAGAACAAAGGCAAATAGCTTAAGTGGTTATTAGTGCTGCATATCTGCTCCCAACTTGTTGCCTGTAATTTGTGTTTGGGGCTAAGGACTCCCATCTTGAGTTTTAGTCTTGTTCAGAAAAATTTCTGAATTGCGTATCGAGTGGGAGAATAAAGGTCTCATAAATAAGCATATATTAAATATGCTTATAAATTAAGCATGTGTATATTTATAAGAATTTATCAAGCATATTTATATTAAGATAAATGAACATCACAAATAAAATCTTAGTTCAGGTACAAACAGAGTTATAACACGGAAGTTTGGCAGAGAGATAGAGACAAATCTATTTTATTAAACAAACATATAACCTCTCAGGGAAAAAAGTCACTGCCTACCTGTAGAGTGAAAGTTTTCTTTTGCCTTTTGTAGAGTGAAAGTTTCCTTTTGCCTTTTACCATTCGGGAAGTGCATAGCTTGGAAAAGTAATACATGCACATTTAGCTAGCTGGACCTTAAAAGGAAATTTCTGGAGAAGAGACACACTGGAAAAGGTAGCTGAGCAAACTGTTATCTTTGCTGCATGTTTGGTTGGTGGACAGGGGAGGCTGTGCCATTTCACAGCAAAGATTTAGATAGCTAATCTGGGCAAACAGCTGTGCCATTTCCTCACTTGAATGCTTAATTTGTCAGCCTTCAATTTTTACCTTACCTGTTTTTCACACAGAAGATAGATGTTACAATCCTTAAAAAAAAAATGCTAACTGTAAACTTTCACCTTCATTCCCTTTCCAAAAAAATTACAAGTAGAAAGGAAACATTAATGAGGAAAATCATCATGCCAGATCAAGTTAACCTGACAGCGTTCAGGATTTCAGGGTACAATATAACATTGTTCACCACCACCAGAATCTAGAAGATTAAATATAAAACAGTACTATAAACACAAACTTCTTTCCATAATACGGACTTTCATAAACATGTAGATAACCACAGAACAGTACGCATTTTTTGTAATAGTTCACGTTTCATATCCTATAAGAGATTTATAATGGGCTTGTCTGATGGGATTAAGGACATGAAGTAAAATGAAGAGTCCTGCACAACACTATATTGTTTCTTTTTCTTTTATGCTCAGTTGCTGATGTGTATGTGCCCCCCAGAAGCACATAAGGGGTTCCTTAAACTTCTGAACTTCCAGAGTCCCACAAAACCAAAGGGGAAAGAGAGGACTGAATTAACTCCACCCAAAGCAATCTGATACCAGTATCTCAGAGAGTCAGATATGAGCCTCTCACAACGTTCTCAGCAGACAGTTCTGCAAAAGTAGCTTTCACTGGCCAGCTGCTTAAACATCTGTTCTAGACCTGTAAATTCCCAAAATCTTTAAAAGACCTCCCCATTCATGCAAACACAGTTCAAGCTTTGCATTTATTTGTGAAGTTTTGCTCTTAGAAAATCTTCAGTCAAAAAATAAATATCAGACTGCTTACTGACCCTGCATGAACTACATTACCTTGCCCCAAGGCAAGCCAAGTTCCCTAGAGGTTAATTGGAAGTTTTTCCCCAAATAAGACATACTACATTTCACTACATATTACCAGGTCATTTTACATAGCAAAACAGCTGATAAGGAACTGCACAATCTCAAGGGCATTAGTGAATTGTAACCTCTTTGAGAAAAACTGGATTTTGTTTTAAAAAAAAAAGGCAAAGCAGCCTCAGCAGGCCAGATTCCAAAGTCATCTGTTACAAAAGTATATTTGTAGAGAAACTCTATTAATTTCAGCCCTACTTGGGAATTCACTCTGGCTGCTGGCAATAGTAAATATCTAGAATCTTAAATACTAGAATGCAGTCCACAATTCAGGAAACTGTCTTCTTTTAACATCTTTTTGAAATTATCATTCTGGGTCACAATCTTTCCCAAAATACTTTCTTACCGTGACTGGACAGTAAGTACTAGCATTGATTTCAGTGGACCTACCTGACACTGGTAAAATTCTAATCTCTGAGTAGAATACCAGAATTTGGTCACATATAGAACTCCCTAAAATAATTAAATTTATTTCTACAGGGAAACATTATTTCTATTAAGCATTTAATTATAATTATTATTTTATCTATACTTTCAAGCTAATAATGAGCAAAATCTTGTCCTATTTTTGGCCCAACCTTTGGAAGGACTGAAAAGCATCTAAGAAATAAATTGTGGTCTAACCTTCAGGACCCAAAGGTCACTGCACACCTTATAAAATAAAGAGGATTTTTCTTTTAACTGAATTTTACATTTTATTACCAATATTTTTATGACTTTGTTATTCTACCAGCTTTATCAATTCGATGAGGCCTGCATCATAAGAATGAACATAAACTTTGTCATTCATTTCATTTTCATGGGTGAAATAATGATCAGTCATGTTTAGGAAAGAAAGTCTGATGCATTTCCCCCTTTTTTCCAGGACCTCTAAAAGAAGTGGGACTAACTGGAAAGTAATCTGATTGCATGAAGACATGCAACAAGACAAAGTACCGTATGCAAATTGCAAGCTAAAGGAAGAAAACAAAAATCCTTTGTGAATGCTGAAAGTGCACTTGGAACCTTTTACTTCTCTGCATCATAACCCGAATTCCCCATCTCTAGTTGATGCAGGAAGGTAACAGAATGACTTTGAACCTCGTTAGTGGAAAAGAGCAGAACAGGCTGTCAGGCTCCACTCTTTCAGCTGGAGGGGTGGCTACAGACAAATAACGAAAGGCAGAAACGTCAGGGAGAATGTGTTCTTTTTGTGGAAAACACAAGTCACAGAAAGAAATGAGGCTTAACACACACTACTGACAAAAAACATGGGAGCTGAAATTGGGTACCTCAGAGCACATAAGGCTACTCTCTTTCCCCCCTCCATGCAGAAGCTCCCCA